GGGGAGAGAGAGAGAGACTTAGTGAGAAATGACTTCTGTTAGTTGCTTGAGCTGTCTTAGCTGGATCAGTTGTAGACACACACAGAATTCTTCATCAGGGAAGAGAGGAAGGCAGGTGTTTTTCAACTGTGGGAGCAGAGTTGCTGGACGAATGGAAATGTTTGTCTAGCAGTCTAATGGGAAACAGTTTTCCAGCAAGGTCCGGGGTGAATAACAAAGCTGGGGGATGTGGGGCTTTGGTTTTTGTTATATAATCTAGCTTTTAATTTTTTAAAAAAATGTTTTGAGCTGATATATTGGACGAAGTTTCAGAGCTGTGTTCCAGCAGTTCAGAAACAAGAAGCGAAAGGAACTCCCGCTTCCTTAAGGTTCCTTCCCCCCCAAAAAATCTTTTGGATTTTTAGCAGAATTCTTTTCCCATTATGGGAGGGAGTCAGCTATTCCAAAAAGTGAACGTTACAGAATAAATACAGGTCTGTCAGCTTAGCATCCATCACATTTTGGGCAGATGGGTGTAGTTTACCTGTAGCCTTCTGATGAAGACTAATCTGTTGCCTTTTAACTCCCGTGTAAAGGACATGTTTGACAGGTCAGGTTTCTCCCGCCTTGGCTACTGGGCAAATTCAGGGCCCTAGATATATATTACATCAAGCAAAGGAAAAAAAACTGTGGCAGCAATTGTAGTTGAAGAAGCTGGGCTTACTAAACTTCTCCCTTAAAAAACAAATGAGGAGTTGAGAACATTCTCTCCTGACACCTGAGGTGTTTTCAGTGCAGCTGAAAGCATCTTATAAAATTGTTCATCGGGCTCTCCCTGAGGGGCAACGCGCTAAATTAGAACAGCATAACTGTGGTTTCTAACTTAGTTAGAAACATAACATATGGAGCAGAGGTCCATCAGTGGCTATTAGCCACAAGGTATAGATAGGGACTCTGGGGCAAGTGATGCTCTGTCTTCTTGGTGCTTTGGGGGGGGGCAACAGTGGGAGGGCTTCTAGTGTCCTGGCCCCACTGCTGGACCTCCTGATGGCACCTGGTTTTTTTGGCCACTGTGTGACAGAGTGTTGGACTGGATGAGCCATTGGCCTGGTACAACACTGGCTTCTCTTATGTTCTTAGTTCTTGAGCATCACTAGGGGGATGTTCCAGCTATGAAATGCGGAATGCTCCTGGAAATGTGCTATATCAATGGGTATTGTGTCTCTGATGTTGCATTTGGGCTTCCACTAGGTAGTAAACAAATAGTGAAATTTTTTTATGGTTCAGGGTTCTGGATGGCCATACCATCAGTGGTATAGGTTCCTCTCTCATTGGGTGAGGTTCACAGAAGGACTATTTGATGTGGCGTTGGTGACACATCTGGTACAAGCCACAAGACCTTAGGTGGTTTGTCCCATCTGTCCGTCTGGGATCAAGTCGTTTCCGGGGTGCCTAAAAAAGGGAATTCGAACTAATCTTGGGAATTGTGTTTTCAGCATCAACGGATGTAGTTGAGATGAACTGGATTTATGGGAGAGTCACCTTCAGGTCAGCCCGATAAGATATACAGATGTGTATAATAGAGCCAGTTTTACAGAGGGGTCATATAAAGCATGACGGCAACTGAGTAAAGAGATGTTTAGATTTTGGAGTTCATGTTTTTTAAGGGTGCAGGGTGTTCGAGGGGAGATTTGGGGGCTCCGAATTCTGAACTCCCTATGCGAGTCATGCAGGTGAACCCTGACAGGTGAATTCCTTCACACATGCATGGGAATCCCTCCGTCAGATCGCCAGCACTGAACGTGTGAACTGATTCCAGGGAAAAGCATTGCGTTAGAGGCGATGTGTATGTTCTCTCTGTATTTTGGGGGTCAGTAGCGGGGCCATTCACAGAAGCCAAGCAATAGCAAGTGAACAGGTATGTCTTAGCTTTGGCCTTTGGTGAGACAAAGCTGCATTTAAAAAAATTCAAGGTCGTGGCACATAATTATTTATTTATTTATTTATTTGTACTTATACCCTGCCCTCCCCAATGGGCTCAGGGCGGCTGTCTGGTTTGTATGTGTAAAGATGTAATGTATGCATATGAGAGAGAGAGCACCCGATTGATTAAGAATAGCTAAATGAGGTCCTTATAATGATATCTCAGTCTCCTGTAGCTTTTGAAGAACAGAACCAAAGTTCTTTCGAAAGCTTGCATGTGTGCACCTGCAGATGTAGTATTTCTGGATGGGTTTGGGCCTGGGATCCAAAGGGTATAAAAAAGAGCTCAGTGAAGGCTAAGACTGGTCACGTCTATATATCTAATAGCCAAGTTGCCCCCCTCCATGCGGATATCTAAATCAGCACATCGGGGCACTGGGTGGGGGCAGGGAGATTTTCCTGCGCACTTGGAGCAGTCTCCAGGTGTGCAGAAAAATCTAAAAAGTTGAAAAAAGTATACGGGGG